TGCCTTTCACTCGGTGCAGGAAGGTGCAGGAATATGCAGGCCAGGCTCTTCCCCCACAGTTCCCCACTGCCCAGCTCTTGCAGGCACACTGGTGATGTGCTGCTTCTCCCTCACTTTGCCAGAAAAGGCTTCCACAAGGTGCATTAAAATATATATTGTTGTTCCTTTGTATTGCTTAAGCATACCCCCAGTGTGTCCTCAGTGCCCTCCCAGCCACTAGCAACCACCAAGGGAAACCGGAAAGAAAAAGAAACCAAACCATTCTTGTTTTCTTAATGCAGTAAACCACAAAAATTTATTTTTCTCGTGTCTAATTTTAACCAAATGAAAAAACACTTACATATTAATTTTAACTTCAGAAATCCCTGATTTTATTAGCTCTTTTCTTCCCAGCCTCATCTCACTGGAGCCGGTTCCCAGACACTGTCCTGGCACGGTGCCCACGGGGCTGACTCAGAGCCCACAGACCAAGGGCCAGCTTAGTCCTCACACTGGTGCTTCCACATCAGCTTTTGTCCATCTTTTCTTCCAAGGTGCTTTTTGCCAGCCACTCCAGCCCTGCCATCACAGTTAGTCCCTCCCAGCCACAGGACTGTTTCTCCAGCCTGCCCAAGTCCCATCCTCCAGCAGTTTTATCTGCTCACCCCAATTCAGTGCCACCTGTAGATTTGCCAAGTCCACCCCAATATCCAGGACATTAATGAAGATGTTAAACAGCACCAGCACCAGTATCAGCCAGTTTTTCACCTGCCATGTAGTTGACCCCTACCACTACCAGTTTAACTACAAGGCTGCCACAGGACACTGTGCCAAAAGCCCTGCAGAAGTTGATCCATTGCACTCCACCATCCACAGAGCCAGACTTTTCATCACCGAAACCCACCAGCATGATTAGCTTTTGAGGACTCTGAGCTGGCTCTTCCCAATCACCTGTTTACACTTCAGGCACCTGGAAATGCTACTCATGGGTAGCAGAAGGGGAAGACCAGGATGCTAGCACTGCGTACATCACGGCTCCTGACTCATCAGTCACCCATCAGCCTCCACTCAGTGTCTCGGTCCCCTGCAGATGGTGAATAAGAACATTATTACCTGCCTCACATAGTCAACGTGTGGCTTAAATGATGTGAGTCCTTTATGTGCACCACTCAGTAACTACATTATAATTAAGAGATGCTTATCAGGAATCGTGAGTCAAGCAGAACATGCCAAGCACTGGGAACAGCATCCAAATGGAGGAGATGTTTTCTCAATAAATAATTTAGTCCTCGTTCCTGCAGTGTGTTTCATTTACAAGGGAAAGACTTGTAACCATATAAAAGGCCTCCATCTCTCTGCCTCTCATAGTCTGCTCTCCTGGTCAGCATCTGCCTTCCCTCGTCAATTGGGTAAGACACACGCTGGGGCATCTGGGTTCATTTTTGGATGGGTGTCTGGGTTCAGGGCGTCATGGACCTAGCATGCTTGCACTGTCCTTCAGACCATGCTGTAAACACAAGGGATAGAGGACAGTGGGCTAAGGCAAGAAAGAAGCTATTAGGGGACTTGGGTATGGGATTTACAACAATGCCACTACGTGCTGCAGTGCCCTTACAGTTGTTTTGGTTCTTGGATGGGAAAAAAATCAAGGGTAAGGTCAGAAAGAGGGTTTGGATATAATATGACAAGTATTGGGCAACTACAAGAATTTTCTTTAGATCCAGGATTTCAGGACAAAAAAGGTTGAGCTATGAATAGATCAATAAAGCAGCTTTATGGGAAATTAAATGAAAAACGAGGAAAGGGAAATGCAAGCCTATCTGGTTTTGTGTTTTTCAGGTTTTTCCCCTACAATTCAAACATGATATATTCTTCTGGAAGAGAATCATACTTCAACTTGAACTCAACCTGGTATGATCCCTCAGGATCCTGGCTGGACACCCGGCGCACACCCTTCCGCTACGGCTACAACACCTGCTCCTCGGGGTGCGACGGTGAAGGCGTGGAAGGCATGAGAGGGCACAACTACCGGCATTATGGCTATCGGCAGCCAGTGTGCTCTGAGAGATGCCATGGCTATGCTGCAGCTGATTCATGCCACGGAGGGGGGGACTCGAGCTGTGTCAGGAGGCCCACGTACAGCTATGGGTCATCAGGGGGATGTCACAGCTATGGGAGGTCAGTCTGCTCTGAGAGGTGCCACGGATCCTCAGATTCATGCCACGGAGGTGGCTCGAGCTGTGTCAGGAGGCCCACATACACCTATGGGTCATCAGGAGGGTGCCAGAGCTACGGGAGGTCAGTCTGCTCCGAGACATGTCACGGATCAGGGTACCAGGGGGGGAAGCCAAGATACAGCAAGCCAAGGCAGTGCATCCAGCAGTGCTGCCCGGTGCAGACCTGTCCCCCTCCAGTGCAGACCCATCCCCCC